ATATGCAGCCTTCTAATGTGGGCACCCTCAGACTGCTTCCAAACCTGGAGGCTGCTGCCACCTGCAGGATGATCTTTGTCCACAACAACGTTACATACTCTTTTATCAAATACATATATTAAACATGACTGTCCTGTTGTGGTATCATTAGAGCAAAACGCACATGTTGTGTTTATTAGATTGACAAAAGCAAAATTTAAGCCTTAATTAGAAGCCTGTTGAGTTTTTCTTAAAATGTATGAAATATGGTGGAGTCTTAAGCATACTGCATATTATTTGAAGTATATTTACAACCTTTGACATTCTTGTCATTTTAAAGTTTTCCTCTACTTTATTGTATTAGCATGATTTGGCTTTTTTTTTTCTAAATATGTAGCTTTGATCTTTCAGATTTTCTAATAATTGCCCAAATGATAATTGTAGAGAAACACTTAATACAAAAATGTGCCTGGATGACATCCTAGGTCCCTTCAGTAAAGCATGAAAAGCAAACTCAGACAGTATCAACCTCAATATTAACCCCACAGACACGTGAAGTGAATAACGTTATCACATTATAATGCAACGTCCTGCTTGCTGCTGATGTGAATGCTGCTTTGTATATGTCACTAATGTTGTAAACCAGTAACACTCACCCATGGCACCCTCTGACATCAGTGGCCAGGTTACTGTGCTCTGTCACACCATAAAAGCTGCTCTGAAACAGACCGAGCACCAGCATCCAAACCACTGTGTGTGATCAAGCGATACACTGGAACAAGTTCAATCCAGTGAGGCCCATTAAAGGTCACGGCTGCTTTGGTAGCATGAGGATGGCCCACACAATCTTAAACAAGTGGTTTGGTTGTTGCTGTTGTTGTGGCTCATCTGTGTATTTTATGCAGAAGAATTTATAATGCAGCCTTTTTTTTTTCATACATCTGTTCATCGATTTGTCCGTTAGTTCACAACATTCAGTTTTTTTCTCTCTGAGCCTGATGAATTTTGGAGTCACTCCCAGAACAGCAGGCAAATGACTGTCGAGGCTATTCTGTCACAAGGCAGAACAGACAGTAAACAAGCACATACAAATACACATTCACCAGCTGTACAGGAGCATGCCAAATACATATCAACCTGTCACAATGATTAGTGCAAATATTTTCATGCTTTGCCTGATTGCTGGCTTAATTGATAATTTTGGCGTTCTTTGGTGGAGGTTATTTTAAAATAAATAGACACTGATTTCTCTATCATATTAAAGTAAACAAATAAATAAAAATGAAATTAAAGCCCTACCGTTGGCACCGAACAACTATGACTACATGATGTTTCATCAAATCTACAAGAGTAATTAACAGTGAGGGTAATTATTGCGAATCAATATGTCCCGCCTAGTGGCTGTATTTAAATCGTTGTACAAGTGCATTAATTGCCAGCTTGCGGTTGAATCACATTGAGTGGGGACAGACTGGTAAATCACCTCTATTGACATCAGAATGGGTTTTTTTATACTAACTGTAGCTTCATTAATAAATACGAATCTGAGAGGCGTAAAATCAAGCTTTTATAATAAAATATAAAGGTTTCTTACAGATACATTCATGGCAAAACGAAAGTAAACTCTCATCTTGTCCTTATCTGGGTTTAAAGTTAGGTCGATATACCTGAGATGAATTACAAAACATGCCATATTGCACATATTATTGATTTTGCAAAAACTGAACTAAAATGCAGAAGCTGTGTGTGGAAAACCAAGTATGTACTTACTACTTAAGAGGGTAAGTAGCACCCAGATGCTGTTCATCAAATACACTTCACTGATCTTCACAACATGTAAGCAAAAAAACGTGTACTACGGGCAAATGTAGATGTACTGATGTATACAGATAAGGGTAGTATAAAAGTTCTGCAACAATGAACTTTCTACAGATGAGTCCAAAGTAGATGAGGCCACAAAAACACCCAAGTTTGGAAAACAACAAAACAAAACAAACACAGCGTGTCAGCACAAACACCTCATACCAACTGTCAAGCACGGTGGTGGAGGGATGATGAGCTGGAGTCACAGCACCTGGGAATCTTACAGTCATTGAGTCAACTCCTCTGCATATGTTGCGGAGTATAGCATGGTGGAAAAGAATGGCGAGAATCCCCCACTAAACTTTTGGGTTGGCATTACTTGGGCTGGGGTTTTTTTGTGTTTGGCGTGAGGAGTGGAGATTCTACTCTAGTCCAGCTGCCAGGTATTGATTGGGAAGGATGGGAGCCATTCTCTATAAAGGGGAGAGGAAACTGGAAGGCTTTTTTAGTAGGACACTGGTGCAGCAGGGAAGCCTCTGAGACTCCAGGGTGAAGTGTGCACATTCTAAGGCATAGGTGTCAAACTCTGGCCCGTGGGCCATATTTGGCCCGCAGCCTAATTACATTTGGCCCGCGAAGCCATACCAAATTACTATTAGAGCTGGCCTACTGGTATTATGCAGCTAATATATATATTGTTTAGTATTAAGCTTTGCTTGTTCCATATTCAGTTTTTCAGCAAAACTTGTTTGAGTCCATAAGAAAAGATTCATTCTTATATCTGGAGGAAGATTTTGTTTTTCAATAAATATTAATGTTAGCCTGCGAATTTGTTCCAGTTTTGAATTTTGGCCCACTGTGTATTTGAGTTTGACACCCCTGTTCTAAGGGAAAGGATTTTTAACCTGGCCTGGTTTTGCTTTTAAAATAATCTGAGGATGTTGGAGGGAGGACTCATTTTAATTAGGATTTGTGTGGATCTGCTGGGAGGAAAAACACTGGATTGGAGACTCTTCATGCCCATGGAAAGGAAACTGGCCAAGTTTAGGGAAGTTTCAGCTCGAGAGTGGAAGCCCCAGGATTTAATGTGGAGAGCCACCCTTGAACGACACCAGGCTTGAAAAGGTGGGTGGCAAACCTTTCTGAGGAAGATGCAGGATTGATATGTTTTTGGCTGCTTGTTCTTCCAAGTGACCACCTTCCCCTGTTTGTAACCAGGCTAACAACCCTGACCGTGGTGGCTTTGGGCCTTGGACTCCTGGCCAGAGTTGTGTCTTCAGCCAGTAGTTTGACTCTGAGGAAAAAAATAAATCTTGTGTACCCCATTGCAGTGTGGGGGTTCCTTACTGGTCAATATTAGAGCTTACTACTTTCTTGTACGGAGGCCATTTTGGGCCATACGTAACATATACACAAGTATCCTTGAGTTAAATATAAGACCATCTGACCAACATCTAGAGCTTGGCCCAAACTGTGTCATGCAACAGAACAATGATCCCAAGCGCAGCAGCAAATCTACAACAGAACGACAAAAAAGCAGAGAATCAAGTTGTTGCAATGGCCCAGTCAAAGTCCAGACCTCACCCTGATCGGAGTATAAACAAATACCCACATATCTCAACAAACTGAAACAATGTTGTAAAGGATGACTGATGACTACAGAAAATGATTACTTAAAGTTAATGTTGCTGAAGGTGGTTGTACAAGCTACTGAATCACAGGTTACACTTATTTTTGGTAAATAAATAATGGTATGGTGCCCTGTGTTGTTATTAATCTGAGGTTGTATTTACCTAATTTTAAGAGTTGGTAAGGACCAGATAATTTTTTAAAAATAATTTTTGATGTGTAAAACCTTAGAATTGAAATAGGGTCTACTTTATTACCTTATTACTCCACTAGGGGGAGAAAGTGGCATTTATGTACTGGTCTCAGTACTTTGGTCATGAGAACGACTGGTCCATCAGGGGTTTCCAGACAGCTGCATGGGTATATCTGAGTAAATATGCTGACTTCTCTGGATGGAGAAGTTGAACAAGCAGATGCATTTATAAATGCAACCAGTGTCACCCAGCCTTCACCATTGTGACTGGAATTACACTGAAAAGCTTCCAAAAGTGCATAAAATATACACTGCTGCTAAGAGTTTATATTTCTGTGAAGAAATTAATATCTAAATCTAAATAAAAGTTCATCCATCTTTCCCAACAGCTGATTTATTTATATTTTATTGCTCATATAGAATAAAAATGACTCTAGATGAATTTTAGTAAATCAAAGGTCACCATGCTAACACCAGCAAACTCGTTTGTTTATTTTTCCCTTCATAACTCATATTGATTCAACTTTGTTTCAATCTATACTTCCTCTCTAGTTGTTAGCGCCCCTGCAGTGACTCCATTATAGCCTCAGCCACTTGTCACTGAGTCAACACACATGAAAGCAAGATCATTACACTGGAACAATTGGGGGTGGGGGCATCTTTAATTATGTTAGATGTAACTGCATCAGAATACACCGCTGCACTACACTGCATTAGCCACAAGCCAAACCTAGCTAGTGGATGCTATTAGCTTCTCCTATGCCATATATCTGAGAGATAAATGTATAAGTTTGCCTGTTTGGCTATTAAATAAACATTTACATGCTTTTGTCAAGCGTTAGATGAGAATATTGTTACAACTTTAACAGTTTTACATCTTAAATGGGAAACAACAACTATAAGACAGCTAAGCAAAGACTGTAAAAACCTAGCTAGCCAAGCTCTGTCCAAAGGTCAAAACCTACCTACAGTAAGAGCACCAAGCCCAGTAATTAATATGCAGACTATTCCTTTAAGCACACACAGCCACCTAAATAGTAATAAAACCACACCTTGTATCTTTTTTTTAAAAACATTTTATTTTGAGCTTTAGAGGTGGCAGAGCAGGAAAGCAAAAAAATATACCTTTTTTTTCTTTTTTAAAAGAAAAGAAATATACCTGTGAAATGGTTTTATGGATAATGTTCAGTATTGCCAGGTGTGTAAGAAATAGATGAGATGGCCAGGTTAGTTAGCACCTCAGTGAGGAGATACACTATTCACTGAGACCTATCCAGCCCAGTGTCTGAGTGACGCTATCCTTGGGATCACAGAAACACCATTATCAGTGCACACTGACATCACTCAGCCCTCCAAAGGAGCAACGCAACACCCATCCACGTCCCCCACACACCATCACCCACCCTCTGCAGCACAGTCATTGTGTTCATCGGTCAGCCCATTGTCTGTGATGGAGCGTGGTGGACAGTGTCGCCAATCTCTGTCCAAACCATGATCCAACACTACTATTGTGACCAGTCTTTTTTCCTGCTTAACTTGACAAGATGCTGGTCCCGTGTGATGAGAAGAGAAGTTGGTGTCTGTTCTGCCTGGCACAGGGCTCTAAAGAGGACACAGATTATCGATCTGTGACATGAGTACAGTCGCTGTGGTGATGAAGCCTTGATGAAACGACACATGCACAAGCTACGTAACTGCCATTACCTCTCTGCTTGCAGGAGTTTCACACTGTGGGAGCCCCTGCTTCTGTCTCCAGTTTGACCCAGGACACTTTTGGCATCTACATCCACTTTCATCTCTGAAACCAACTTCAACAAATGAAGCAAAGTACCTGAAATACTGGAAGTTTTCCTCATAGCAGTTTTTTTTCTTTTTTTTCTTTTTTGCTCAAGGCAGAGATCACTTTCTTTGCAGAATGAAACAACGAAACCAAACAACTGTGGGATCTTTCACGCTGACTTCTCTGAGGTTTTCAGATGGGATGCAGATGGATGGACAGCAATACAAGACACTCATCTAGCACAAGTGAGTAAGTGTTTACAGGAGGTGAAGCACAGCATGTTCTCTGTACAGTCATGGGACATAGAAAAGTTACTTGTGCTTTTGGAAATCTGTGTCCTCTAATATTCTGACAATCAACCCATGTTCTCCACACTAATTTAAGGTGTCGTCTTTGATTTTGGCTGTCTGAGCTGTGCCATACCTGACATGGAGACCTTTTACTACCCCATACGTCGGTCCTCAAGCCTCTACCTGGACCCTAGGCTTATACAGCGACGTATCCTGGAAGATCAAGTGGAATTATGGTGGTCCAGAGACCCACAACGCTCCTTGTTGTGCTACTGTGCCTCTGTTGCCCTCATACTCGGACTGGGCCTTGGTGGTGTGGGGCTCCTCTCCACCACCACAAGCCTATCTGGGGAATGGCGCCTAGGGGTGGGCACCACCCTCTGCCTCTTGGCACTTGCTGTCCTGCTCAAGCAGCTTCTCAGCTCTGCCATCCAGGACATGAACTGCGTGCGCAGCAGGCGTCGGATCGACCAGCTGAAAAGTGGTGGGAGGGCCGACCCCGCGCTGATTTTAGCTGTAGGGCTGGCAGTCATGCTGTGTGGGACGGTGCTAATCTTTGTGGCCACCATCGGCAGCCAAGGTCACGACAGCAGGGAAATGTTGGTTTCTGGTCTGGTGTTGATGGCTGCAGGGACAGGCATGTCTCTAGCTGTAGCGGGCTATAGTGTGCTGGCATACATCAAAAGAAGAAGGGAGCAGAGGAGGAGGATGAGAATGAGGAGAATGAGGAGGACAGGGAATCAAGCTGTCTGTGTGTTCAGTGTTTCTGGAGGACAAATGAGTCAAGCCAGGAGAGAGACCTCGTCGAGCAGGACCAGCCTGATCTGAAAGGACTTAAAATATCTGAGACTGGATGAAGTGGTTTAAAGCTAAAGGAACTAATAGTAGAACCGAGGAGGTTGTGTCAATATCCAAATCAAGTCTTCACAGATTTTCTTTCCACTCTCTTTATTGTTTTCCATTACCATAAAAACTGACTGCTGAGCTCTAAACACCATCACTGCAGTACAGTCACATCATTTCTACAAGAACAATAGGCTGCTGTCAACAATGGCTCTGTAATTTGATAAGCGAATATTTCCCTCCTTTGTACTGTCTGAAGGCTCATTTATGCTGTGTCTGACTGATTATAGTTGTAAATAAAGAGCAGATGTCACATCAGATCAAAACATCGCTGTGTTGTAATTTCAGTAAGAACGACTTTATTAAAGACGTGAATGTTCAAAAAAGTAATTTCATACAAACAAACATTCAGACTACAACAAAGATGTGTGAGTGTGAAGTTGTTTAACTCTTTGATATTCACTGTTAGCAGAAATGTAATAAAAAAACAAAAAACTTAAAGGTAACTTAAAGGTGAATAATTGAATGGCATGTGTGAAAACAAATAGCATTTAGCCGGATATAAACATTAACATCATTATTAGCAAATAAACTGAATGTTGTAATTTTAAATGTTTTCCATGTAGAGTTACTTACACAGCATGTGTAATATGTGAATCCATATCGATATATAGAACATTTGAGCTTTAAGAACAATTTCTACACGGCATAAAAGAAAAAAATCAAAGGTATTCTGATTGCACAACGAGTCAACATTACAGAGGTCGATGCAGCACTTTAAATGTGTTTTGTATTCATTTTGGCCCCTCTTACGGTCGGTTATCTAATAATAACGGATAATTTGGTCAAAACATTTGCGTGGCTCAGAAGTTTCTGCAGTCAAAAAAACTTTACTGTTCAGTAAGTAGGTTGGGGCCCATGTTGGGGGTCATATAATAAATTTAAGGGTTTCAAAATGAGCAATATGAGCAGGCCAAAAAAGAAAGAAATTCTGATTTACTATTTCTTGTCAAGTTTATAATCCTGTCTTCTTTAAGGGCTCATGAGGCACAAAAGTTTTAAACTTTAATTATGAAAACGCTGCGTCCTGATGAACAGAATCAACTTTTGGAGTGTCATTATTTTTGTTGTAAACCGGTCACTTTGGAAAAATGTATTTAATCACCCTATAGTGAACTGAAGATCGTCGTCGCTGTCATCTGTCCCCTCTACCTCCTCATCCTCCCTTTGTCCCTCTGGCATGTGCTTCTCACCGGGCTGGATGTAGTTGTCCTCAATGAAGCCATCGTCGTCATCATCCAACTCGGGCTGAGTCCCTCTGACTACTCCCATCCTACCGGACACATTGTTAGGGAAAGACATGTCCTCTTGACCGTACTGGCTCCCCCCATCCGACTCCTGGAGCAGGGAGTGTCTGTAGCTGGCCAGAAAGCGATGTAAAACGCGAAACTTAATAACCAACACGATGAAGAGTGAAAGGGTGATGACTGTGCCCAACGCTATAGCCAGATAGGAGAATTCCACCTTTGGGCTCTCAAATGAGCTGTTTGTCTCTGCAGGAAAAAATTTGGTTCATCAAAATCTAACAAGACAGAACCCAAAACACTTCCTATGGATTAGGTATAGTAGAATATTAAACCCCTCAAACAAGAATAACACTGAAATAAAAGGTTACTGTTTACTTTGTTACTTACTTGGTTTGCCAGTGCTATTAGTGTTGTCTTCGAGCTCCATCAGAAGATGTTCCTGGGTGCCTTTTTCTACGACAGCGTCTGATATAGAAGCAGTATATGCAACGTCACAGAGAAAAAGCACCACACAGATGCCACAGCTCCACAGACCCATCTCGCTGTACAAGATCTACAGAAATAAACACAGTAGTAACCAGGATTGTGATCCAAACAAGAGAGGAAATTTGGAGTCAAAAGAACAGAACTTTGGCGAATACCTTGAATAAGACTTGACTTGATTAAACTCAAATGTCAGCGGGACTGAATGCAGTATTACAAGGCAGACGATTTTGCTAAAAATTGCATTTGAAAGGATGATTGCACAGTCAGTAAGAAAAAAAAAAGACCTGCTAAAGTAAAGTAAAGTTTCACAGGCCTGTAGTTACAAAGTGCTGCACAAAATATAAAAGAAAATGAAACTACTGTTAACAGTGATACAAAGCCAAGTTAAATTTTGGGCCATATTTTGTTTTAAAAGCCTTTGTCCCGCTCAATCGGTCCCAGACTCGTACGAGGAACAACCAACAAATACCACGTCAGTGATCGAGGAGTGCAGGAGCACCCTGAGGAGCTGCAGGAAGCGGAGAGAAATCGTCTGGAGCTTGTCCATTTCCAAAAGATGCGTTTTTCACTAAATGATTTCGTTTTATGACACCAAAGCAAGGCATCTTGTGAAACATAGAGCAGTGAGAGTGACATGAATAAAGTGATGATAATAATATAACATCATTTTACAGTTTTAAGATCTTAAGCTTCCATTTGACAAACTGGACACCTGTTCTTACTCTTAACTATCTTACCTATCATATCTATGTTACTCGTTCTTCCCGTTTCATGGAGTACCATACATTTACACTGTCTGGTTGGGACGAAACATAAATTGTCAGTCATCATCATTATTATCGTAGCACGGAAGCATCAGAGATAGTATCAGTATAGTATCTGAAGCCTGCTCAGATTGTATAAGATAAAAGATCACAAATGATTTGACCTTAATCACAACATTAAGATAAAAATATTTAAGTTCTCTTCACATAGACAGTCACATGATGTTGTCAGACCTTTAGTAACGTCCAGAGGAATTTTAAAAGACCTTAATTTCTTACTAATTACCTTCAATCTTAAAATAAAAGCACTCTCTTTATCACCCAACAGCAGATGTGTGTATACCGACTGTAATGTTCTTCACATTGTGTCACTAGCCTGTTTTCTTTCCAAATATAAACTCGGTTTACCTTCTAATGCTGGCCAGAGCACAGTAGCTGGTTCACTGAAGTCATATGACCACAACATACCTATGTTCACTCAGTAGTGTCACTTAATATTATCATTAATGCAAATGTCATGTTACACAAACTGCAAAGCACACAAAAATCTATGTAAAAGTCCTTACCTGTGCCAAAACTGATAGAGAAGGTGTATTTTGGTCTTCTTAGCTTAAGATTTTGTTTTCCCCTTCCGCTGCTTCAAAAACAATAAAAGGCCTGTCTGGGCAAAGGTTACAAGACATGCCATAATGTCTCCCTTCTTGCACCATATCCTCAAGACAGATGTTAATGATTAACTTCACTGGGTTTATAATTTTTTCTTTGCCCTGTGTAACTACTTTCTTTTATATATTCAATCAATTTAATGTTATTTATATAGCACCAGCTCACAATACCAGTTGCATCAAGGTGCTTTATATTGTAAGGAAAAGACCCTACAGCAACACAGAGAAAACCCCAACAATCAAACAACCCCCCATGAAGAAGCAGTGGGTGTTTTTGTTCAGAATATAAAATAATTTCAAGAGTCAAAAACTCTACTGCTGTTGGAAGTAATGAAAAGCCTGCTGGCAGGAAACAAAGAGAGTTAATGAGTAAAAGGACAGTTACACTGATGCATCTGTGCTCTTGGGCCAAATAGTGGCACTGTAATCACATCAGACATAAAACAAAGACACTCCACAGAGCCTCCACAGCTCTGTGTGGAGGGGGCAGCTGTGTTAGCTCACAATCGCTTTTGTAATGTTAAAAATCATGAAAATAACAACAACATGCACTTAAAATATCTCCTTATACAAAAGAGAAAATAATACTTAATATTTCCTCTTATTTAATGTATAACGGTGTGTTATTGTGAGCTCCTCATGACTTAATCTATGTATCTTGAATTACTGTGATGCATAACAGACGTCGGTGCTGGATCATCAGGCAGTGAGGTGCCTGATGATAACTTAACTAATGTGATTAACTTGAACTGAACGTGAGCAAAACCAAAGAGATGGTGGTGACCTTCTCCAGTAGGCAGAGGGATCTGGCTGCTTCAGTCACCACCACCATCCACGGGAAGCCAGTGGAGGTAGTTGAGGAATACAAATACCTGGGAACCATCTTTGACAACCTCCTGAAATTCTCTGCCAACACAGAGGAGATTCTCAGGAGGTGCCACCAACGGCTATACCTCCTTAGGAAACTCAACTCCTTTGGAGTCAGCACACCCATCATGATGACTTTTTACTATGCCTTCCTGGAAAGCATCCTGACCTGCTCCATTACCTGCTGGTTCCACTCCCTCAGCCTTCAGAACAGGAACAGACTGCAGCACACTGCATCAGTGCCTGCCTGTCAGAACTCTGCCACAGGTTTTCAGTCAACAGGCCCTCAGACAGGCAGCCAAAATCATCCACGACCCCTCTCACATTCTTCACCTCACCCCGCATTTCAATGGCTCCCCTCTGGGCGACGCCTCCGCTGCATTTCCTGCAGGACTGAGAGGAGGAGAGCCACCTTTGTCCCCAATGCCACTCTGCTTTTTTAACTCCAGCAGACCATTTCCCACACCAGAAACATAAACTACCCCACACTCTTTTTATACTACCGACACTTTATTCACTCTTAGTCACTGACAATTATTTATTCACCTTTCAGTCACTTTAATGTTAAACTGTGTAATTTTAAAACTGTACATACTGTATATTCTGTTTATTAAAATGTATTATACTAAAATTCTATCTCTTATAAACAACAACAAAAAGTTTAATCCAATTCAACTGAGTTTTATAAAGCACCAATTTGCAATACCTCAAGGTGACATTATGACACATGAACTACACCCTTCAAAGACAAATTCTAAAAAGACAGTTTTCAGTACAGAAGTAGCTTCTTCAACGCATGGAAATTGACACATGACCCCTTTAGGTGCTGCTTCAAAGTGACATACTCAAAGCGCTCAGTGGTTCTTAAGCAGCGCTGGTTTCTTTGCTTATATCAGCTTTATGTAAGGAGTTCTTTCATCTTTGATGAATGTTACTTTTCTTCACTGATTTTTTTCTTTTCTTTTTAATCAACTCCAGACAAATTTTTTCACTTTCATCTTAGGACTTTATGAAAATTATGTCCTTGTGGAGCAGGTGGTTAGTTTGTAAATTTCAGGTTTTATTGGAAGATTATTATTTTATTTGGATCCTACCCGAGGCTTAGCAGATGTGCTCTTTCCTCAACAGAGCTGGATTCATATAAAAACTGATCGGCATTAACAAACACCTGTTTATTTAACACCATTTAATTGCATTTTGTTTTAAACGTTAACATAACAAATATGCATGGGCAGCTCGTTTTCTCAATTTCCACCAAAGTGCATATTTAACCTCCTAGGACCTGGCATCCACATATGTGGACATCACATTTTGGGTTATTTAGAATAAAATACTCAATTTTGCTCTACAAGGGATGGATGGATGGATGGGCCCCAATATGCCCAAATATCAAAGAGAAATTAAAAATGCATGCCGTGGAAGAGTTCGGGTCTTAGGAGGTTAAGGTTTATCTAGGAATACCGAGACCTATAGTAATTATAACAATATTTCCATTCATGAAGGCGTCTCTTTCAGTTGTAGACTTTATTGATACATCTAGCTTTTCTTGACTTGGTTACATGTTGTCAAGTTGGTTTTCTTAACCACTGAAATAATTCTGTCATCATTCACTTGTCATCTGTTGCTAAGCTGGTCAGTGTGTGCTTTCTTTTTAAAAATATACCAAATTGTTGATTTGACCACTCCTATTGCTCCTTCACTCACATCGATATTGAGAGTTCCAGTGAATCACTACCAAATGTAAGTTCAACACTCGTGTTTAACTCACATCTCTTGATTTGCCATGAAATATAATTAATACTATACCAACAGTCAATTATCCAATTATATTTGAGCCTCTAAAAACTGTATATGAAAATGTCTGTAATTCTTAGACTCATAGACAGATTTTGTAATGTAATGTATTCATGTTTAAATAGTTTTTTTCTAGTCTTACCAACAGCTTATATTGGAGGAAAGTGGCCATAAATAATATAGATACTAATGGTTTATTTTAAAGACGGTTCATATTCTCAGATGAGGATACACTAACAAGAATATAATAAAAAATAATACATATATAATTATGAATATCATATTCTGTTAATAGGTCTATCTGAATCCTAAGCACTAGAGTGGAAAATGACTGCAAAGCACACAATTTAAGAGAGTAATGACTCAGGCAATTGATTATACACGGTCATGCCTTCCCTTCAAAAACTCAGATCCCGAGGCTTTAGCAGGGATTTGAGCAGATTTCATGGAGCCCAATGACTTCTGTGTTGGTCTTCTGATGCCTTCAGATCTTTAGATGTTCACACAGTCTTTAGGCACGCACAGTGTTGTTCCTGTTTGAAAATTCTTTCAAACAGAAAAAGTTCATAATTTCTGTGAAACTTTTTTAGTTTTAGTTTAGTAGTTAGTTTATTCAATAAAAAAACAAGCTTTTTCATATTACCCATCCATCCTCTTCCACTTGTCCAATTTAGGGTTGCTGGGAGTTTCTTTCTCCTGTGATTCCCCACAGCCAAATCTACAGAAGAGCTATTAGAGCAGATTATGAAATGATTTTTACACAGTGCAGCACTTAGATGTGAGCTACAAATGAAGTCCTCCAAATACATAAAGTATGATTTTTACAGTAGGTTTGCATTCATTTAAACCAGCAGGTTTAATTGGTTTGCTGTCACTTGTACCATTATGACAAACATCTACAAAATGCTTTTACAGTTGTCCATTTGCCATCTAACAGGTCTTGCACATCAGCCCTCCCAGGCAAAAGCAATCGGTTTGAATACATGAATCTTTGCAGAGTGTGAAGCAAGTAGATGCTAATGAAGGTCCTAAAAGTCAGCTTGTTCTCTATTACAGGAATACATTACTCACTCAGATTTGTGTGCAATTAGACTGTAAAAAGAATCTAAAATATAAGCCATTTATATTCTTTGTCATTATACTCAGAGTGAGCAAAATGCCTTTGGTGCTTTCTACACATACAGATTGCTGTACCTGTAATTGATGGCTGTTATGGAAGTATAGTTTTATTTACAACCCAAATAAGGTTAATAACCAGCGTGCCTAACTCTTTGAACTGCAGTGCACGATGATCAAAGAGGGCTTGTTGTCACTGGCTTTCAGAGACTCTGCCTCTCTGCAGACAAATGATTAGAAGAACTGAGAGCCAGTAACAAATCTGTCTAACTCGGAGTCTCACTGACCGTTCTAATCTGTGTCTCTTAATTTCTTCAACCACCAAAGCAGCCTGCAATATAGAAAGTGAGCCAGACAAAGGCTTCATCATCATCAGTCGCTCAGCTGAACACATTTAATAGAAAAACAACAAACATTAACTTTAAGTATTTCTTTGAAAAGCATGTTTGTGCTAAGAAACCTTATGATCACCCAAAGAAAATGAAAAGAGAATAAGAGCGCAAGGAGTGGTGTTATTTTTAAGATAAATAATTTCCATGTTGTGCACTTAAATAGTATTCACATTGCAGTTGATCAGGCACCACGTCTGCATGACATATGATGTGATGTACTTTCATTCAGGTTTTACTGATGCTCTTTGAAGAATAGTGTGAATGTGTACATTCAAGTGAAGCATTTGAAAGCCATTCTAGTCAAACAAATATGGATGAAACTTAGTAAACATCTCGTTTTCCTCTTTCATCAAATGTAAATTAATGTTAAATAACAGAGCTCACACTCACATGCTAGCAAAACACAAAAATTCTTAAAGGAGGCTTTTTAAATTCTTTTTTACGTTTAGACCACGTTTTAACAGAGAAAATGGCACAGTGTTGAAACAGGAATTTTAATTTGGTTAACGGAGCTCGGTAACCAAATTAAAACATGAACAATCAAAGCACAGATATCGGACGTTTTGCATTCATTTCGCATCAACATTCAGATCATCAACAAAAAAACAAAAAACAAAAAGCAAGTGCACTTGAAAGGTTTGATTATCCAGAACATACTAAGCACAGCCTTCTAGTGAGTTCACAAAACAGCAGCTTCTACAATAACAGTGAAAACCGACCAGGACTCATCACACAAAAGCTTGAAAGCCAACATGATAAGCGAAGCTGAAACTCATCAAAGTTGACTGTGTTTGTATAGGGCTTGCTGTCTGCACCATCTTGCTTGAGATGTCCTAACAATAAAACCTTTGTATACATAAAAAAGACTAACAAATTGTTCTTGACTAAATGGCACGGTGGTCAGAAAGCTTTGATTTTGTCCTGGAAAAACTTCCACCTTTGATCACAGATGTTTTTCACCTCGGTTTGGTTAGATTTAGGCACGAAAAAAGCTTGGTAAGGTGTATGAGGGGAAAATGGCATTAGGTTAAAGCAGACCTCTTCCATTGTAGCATGTTACTGTAATCACATTGAATTTTTCAGTTTCACAGTTTTTGTTTTTTGGGGGGGGGGTTGTACAAAGGGACAAGAGTGCGATGGTAAAGTGCAAACTGCATCCATAACAGTTGCTAACACAGCTTCGGCTCTTTGTAGGCATCTGCACGGACAGCATGTTAACACAAAGCTAGCCAAGAACCCAGAATGCTACTAAAGTGTAGCCTCAGGTTTACGTTGTTATATTGTTGGTGATTATGTGACAGTGTGTTTCAGGTTACGTTACAATGTGACAAGAAAGTAATATAACAAGTAGTGTAGTTAATTACTTTTTCTGACGAGTAATTGAGTAACATACTGCATTACTTTTAAGAAAAGTAACGAGTAATGTGTAATACATTCTTTTCTTTTTTTCTCTTTTTTAAATGCATAACAACCCCAACACTGCTTAGGACCATTTGAAAGTACAGCATTATGGCAACCCATCCATCCACCCTGACCTCCTCCTCTTCTTAGTCATTATTACTATGGCCACTAGAGGACACTCTTACAATAAAATGCATGCTTCTTTCCAGAAACACCTATCTATTCATCCTATATTTTAGGTTTCCGAACCACATGAGCCAGTACTGGGGGAACATTCGGCTTAATGTCATCCATTAAATACAGCTGCAAAGTGCCATTTCAGTAGCAGATGCATGAATTTGAAGGCTTTTAATGTGCCAAAACACTGGACAGCGCTTAACAGTACTCAGACAAAATTTTACATTCTAAACATTTGTTGCCATCACCAGTTAATAGATCTTATGCCATAATGATCACAGTTTATTAGTGGAAATGTACTCCCCCAGGAATGTGTGCTTGCATGTGATTCACTGATGTAGCACCTCGCTATTCCATTCAGGTTCAGCTTTTTTAATCAGAGTACCGTCTGTGTTAGATCCTCTTCTGCCTCCCAGATTTTATGCAATAGAAGAGGTTTTGTTTATGTGAGACTGTACAGCGCACAGCATACGTTGACTGGTTCATTCTTCACAATAATAATGAATAACAATGGTATCCTTTAAAAGTGATTCAGGTATACAGTGATGCGATTTTAACTTTAAAATCTGTGAGAATTACGCTGCCATCAGACTCCTTCATGTTAACTGATTCAGCAGAATCCTTATTGGTTATGTTAGAGAAACATGATGACTGTGGTTATAAGAAACCTGTACCGGACTGCCAGCAGGACACAGAATATAAACCACAAACTCCAGTGTCAGAATAAGAGATACCCAACAATCCAAGCCCGCCTCCAGCCATCACAAAGGGTTTTACTTGAGGTTGCTTGTCCAGAGAATGTAAACATAAGCCACTTTAAAGATCTGAAAAGTCAACTGATGGTGCAGTTCTGTGTTGTGCTGGGAACGTTTCACTCCCACAAATCCTTCAGTCCCTGAGTAAAATGTCGCAGATTCAAATCAGAGTGCCTCCCGACTTAAAACACTAGCTTGGCTTTCTCTTACCCAAATGCAACATCTTCAGCACATAAATGTGCCTAAAACTGTATGTCCTCACTGTAAACTGCATATGACTCAATGATTCATGTGTTCAAATGAATCTTTGGCTTTCAGAAAGCCAAATTTATGCATTAGTTTCCAAAAAGATGGAGGATAAGTAATTTCCACCCGTGACGAGGCCACGAGGAAAGACGACTTTAATGCATGAAAAATGTCAACAAGGCAAGAAACGTCACAGCCTTCTGAGCGCGTGCTTCTTACTACTGGTCTAAAGTTGTGTTACTCAGTATATACTCCTTTCAGCCACCGCTCACACTGTATCAGTTACTTTCCTCTCATTCATAGTTGTCCACTTGTACCACAAGGCTGTTTCCTCATTGATTTGCCTTATTGACAGAGTGCTGCTGTCCTTATATTTAAAAAAAAAAAAAAAGAGTAATTTATGAAGGACTTTCCACTTTCACTCCAGTGACTGTGGGTGTAAAACACCTCTGGAAAAGGTGCTCTGGGTCTGGCGACTGATTGTCACAATCCACCTTCCTGTTCACAAAGGGATTTTTGAATCTTTGTGGAGCAGCGGCGCAGGGCACCCTCACATGACTCGGCCCCTCACTGGGATCTCCTGCCAAGAAGCCACAGACAGTTGCACAGAATAAAATGATTTATTACGAGCTCTCTGTAAAAGACTTCAATATTGATAAAAATAAAAAGTAAAAATGTTGAGATTTTGTCAGAAATTACACAAACAAACAAATTCCTATCATCAGAGGGAATTCAGGGGAGGATTCATACTAACCTGGCGCTCTTAGGGGTAGGCCGTTGTCAAGACGACGAGTGGGTTTGGTGACGATAAAGAGGTAGCAGAGGACACACACAGTGATGAGGAAAGCAAGGAGGACGACCGCTGCTATAGACAGACCGACCAGAGCACCGATACTGAGAGGAGAAGAGAGAAAAACATCTTTTTAACCTGATCCCTTAATGAACAGAGAGGAGAGGACAGTGACTGATGTGAGGATTAAAAAACACAATGAACGTGAAAAATAACTTTTTTATCTGCTAAATATTTTAAGTGCATTCCTTAGATGGGTCTTACTCGCAGAATTAAAACGAAAACGAGTTCTTTATGCAGTGAATGGATGAACTGAAGTCTTCAAGGAACAGCAGGAACAGAGGCAATTGGTTTTCTCAAAGATTAAGGGTTCAATAATGTCAGTTAAGTGAGGCTTTTATTGCGCAAAAAAGTAAACATTAAAAATGAAGAAAATATTGTGATTATTAGTGATTAGCTCATCCACTGAAAACAAGGACATTATTTTATTTTTTAAGGCAGAAAATAAAATAAAATTGCACTTGCCTGAGCCACCACATGTACCCGTACTCATACGGGAAAAAACTGTTTGCATCATCACAGCAATATTTAATATCGTTAAATCCACAACAGTAGATGGCAGCGGCAGCATTCCCTGGTTTAGGACAGGAGAAGGAGTCCACGAACACCCCGTCAGCGCTGTAGTAACTGCTGCATTCAGCGCTCATGTTGCAACAGAAAGAGGGGGGGGAAAGAAAATGAAAGAAAGAAAAAAACACTTAATGAGCGGCTGGAGGACTAGAAGAGGAATGTTCCTGCGTGGGAGCGCGCCCCGTGGTTAGACCAGTGGAGCAGCGCGTTGGTTTTCATCGGCAGCGTGTTTCTCAGTGACTGAACGCGCAGAGAGATGGAGGTGAAAAACTTTGAATTTGAAGAAAACTGCAGCGCCCACCAACCTCCTACCTCTCTCTCTCTCCCTCCCTCTCTCTCTCTCTCTCTCTCTCTCTCTCTCTCTCTCTCTCTCTCTCTCTCTCTCTCTCTCTCTCTCTCTCTCTCAGTTCCTCTCTCTCTCAGTCCCTCTCTCTCTCTCTCTCTCTCTCTCTCTCTCTCTCTCTCTTCAGTCACACACGCAAACATGAGAATGCATATCCTTGACTTCGTGACTTTCGAGAACGTGGCACTGGTCTTTTTCTGGAGTTGCCTGACCATAACCTTACTTTAATACAGTGTTTCATTCATTGCATTTACAATTTATGACGTGTGCTATAATGTGATAGTGGACTCTCCCAGCTGTGATTTAGCAGATTTTGCACCCTGGACGGTTCACAAGCTAAAATTGAACTGAACATTAGGCTGGAGATCACTGAAGTCAGAGAGTCCTTTTCAGGAGCTAATACGGGGATGGGAACGCTAATGAGATGTGTCAGCACTGCCTTTAGTTCTTCAGTTCACAGCAGATGAAGTGTTTACTTCTTACACCTAACCCAGCCTCAACCGTACAACATTACCGAATAACATCAAAGGGACTTGCTTTTGGTTCCCATAAAGAAACATGTCCCCATTATGTGACAAGTTCAGGGCCCCACAACATGAGAAAGACCTGAACACACACACACACACACACACACACACACACACACACACACACACACACACTGGCTCACTCCACTTACTCTGAGGTTTTAAATATTATGATTATTGTTGGAATATTTAATTTAAGACACAGCAATGCAGTGGAAAGCATGACAGAGCTCTGTGCCCATCTGATCATTTTAGCTTCACAACGCTGAACAGCTGGTGGGCAGAATATTATCTGTAAGTTATGGCAGCAATCAAGCAGTGCTGTGATAATTAAAGCAGGCTACTCCACTGACTTTTAATTCTAAGTGATGTTCCAGAGGTGTTGCTTCTACACTGTGGGAATAAAAATATAAATAGGGTGCAAATACAAAAACATTTTGTTCCCAACTCCATATATGCTCAACCAGGGAGCAGCTGCACAGAGAGAGTTTGATGCATAAAGCTTTTTCCTCGAGCCTTATGCAGGTACGTGCAGCAAATACCTAACCATTTCTTGAAGCACACACACACAGATATATATACACCTGGCGACACCTGTGTTGTCAGTTTGGCTACATGGAATTGCACGGGTCTTCGACTGATCTCAACAGCTAAGATATTATCAAGGGTTTGAGAAGAAGAAAGGTTTAAGACATAGATTTAGGAAATGTCTAATAAAAGCAATTAAATGGTAAATGGCCTGTATTTATATAGCGCTTTACTAGTCCCTAAGGACCCCAAAGCGCTTTACATATCCAGTCATCCACCCATTCACACACACATTCACACACTGGTGATGGCAAGCTACAGTTGTAGCCACAGCCACCCTGGGGCGCACTGACAGAGGCGAGGCTGCCGGACACTGGCGCCACCGGGCCCTCTGACCACCACCAGTAGGCAACGGGTGAAGTGTCTTGCCCAAGGACACAACGACCGAGACTGATCCAAGCTCGGGGCTCGAACCGGCAACCTTCCGATTACAAGGCGAACTCCCAACTCTTGAGCCACGATCGCCCCAAAATATCAAAATATCTGAGAAAATGCTCATCAGCACATCTAGTGACTGAAGTGATCTCAAGCTTAGTCAACTAAGAGACTGATGGTGATAAAAAGAACATTCCAGTATGCATATTATAGAGGTTTCATTCATGCTATGTTTTTCAAATCACCAAATTACCAAAGTCAGAAGCTAACTGTGTCTGTTACCTTATTGCACAGACTAAATTACAGAAAATTGTTAGCTAAATGTAATTATAGACATTGATTGCTATGTTAATTTTTGTATTTTAACATTTTTCTAGTTTTTGCTTTATAGAGACAATCCTGGGCATAATGGCAGAAAAGGAGGAAAAAGCTTTTGTACACATGATCTTTTAATGGCCCCCTGTCCAATGTTTCCATGATTTCAAAAAGATATAAATGGTTCATCTGTTTGAATCATTTCTTTCTTGAATAGACCCTCAGACTCTGTATGACTCATTTAGAGTGATCACAATTCTATGTCATACATCTCAAGCTTTCGAGGATATTTAGTTCATATTAGAAAGTCATTATTGAAAAGAGACTGCAATAGAACATGTTCACAACTATCCTGTCTTTGTCTTAATGACAAATTATTCTCATTGCAAAGAAACTTTTTAAATTGTAGCCTAAGTTAGTTAGGTACGCAATTTGAGACTTAAATGTACTTCCTGAGTCATCATCAAGAGATATGACATAAAGAACTGTAAACCTGACCACATTTCCAATCAATAGTACTGAATACATTTTTTTTTTTTTTTTTTTTTTTTTTTTTTGGCGTGTCTGCTATTGATTGTACTGTAAAAAGGTCAACAGAAGCACAGTGGCTGTATGAAAAGGCTCATTACTGGTGCAAAGTCTTCTGTATCTGCTTCTCAGTAAGACTGCTTGCATTGAGTGTCAACCTTGGCTAAAAATGAAGCCAGTGCACAGCTGCCAAATTTGTTGTATGACTTTCCACATAAGGCTGTTTAAATGTCAAGGTTTTTTTTTATTTATTTATTTTTTAAACCAGAAATAGGCATTAATTGCCTGCCTTATAAAACTATGTTAGTCTTTATAGCTAATTTCCTCCTTCATGACAACTAAAGTCCCATGCAATATTCTTGAGCTCCTTATTTTTTATATTTTGTTAGGAAATTGGAAAATTGATGCAGTGATTTATTAAAGTGTACAAACATACATAGAAATGCCAACCACTATGACAAAGACTCCACAAGGTTTTACAGATGACTGTAGACACTCACTGTTGTACCTCTCTTCAGACCTCCTCCTACATACTTATTGATAACAATTTGAACCAAGTATTGCAAATTTAGATACATCTATAACTCCACAAACTCCCTGTTGCCACAGATTTTCAGTCATTTTTTGTGTAATTTGGCACAGCCCAGCCTTTATTTCCCGTTTCCCTTTCTTAAGAATGTTTTTGACAGACTCCCTTTTGTTGCAAATGTTTTTTTAGGCTTGCCATTTCTTCTTTCATCCTCCACTTTTCCAGGTTCCTCAGATTTGGTTTTAATGATGAAGTGCACATTATGCTGAGATGTGATATTTGTAAAGACAAAGTATTTGGTAAACAACTTTTTAGGAATGACTTAAATGACTTTAAAATTCTATTCCATGCCTGTCAGACTGTGTTTTCTTTGGTATTTTTCATAGATGGGAACAAACTAAGCACCTAAAGATACAATTAAATATTAGTTCTTTACTGGTTATTGGTTCTTTGTGTAGTGGGAATGCTGAAAAGCACTCGCATGGGCTGATTTTCTTTCCACCCGATCTCTTCCTGCCTGCATGATGAGTTTTTGGCAGAATTAAAATAAAATTTCTCTCACCTCACTCTGAGAGCAGCACAGCTAAGAAACTACAAAATATACAGCAGGGGAAGCGTAGTGTTGTGGAGTTTGTGACTGACTTTCGTACACAGCAGACGCCTCGTCTGTGTCTGCTGCCTGGAGAAAAACTCCCTGGAAGGCATAATCGGACTAGCCAGAGGCTGGCTAGTTTTTCTCCAGGCCCTCAATGATCAGGTGAGGGATCATGTAGCCTCCCATGATGACCTTTCCTCTTTCAAGGATTTGATCTCTCTCCCCCTCAGGACAGATAATCGCTTGAAGGAAAGAGAGGCCAGAACTATAAGTCCCACCGTGCTTTCTTCTGTTCGTCTCCAATTTCCATCTCTGCACCGCCGCTTCAGCCCACATAGCAGACAGATCTGGTAAGATAAGATAAGATAACTCTTTATTGTCATTGCACAGTCATACATAGTACAGTAGTACAATGAAATTGGAAAAAACTGTCCTACGTCGGCACTACATATAACACAACACGACACGATATGACACATCACAACGTAACAAACAACACAACACAGTATATTAACTTAGTATAAAAAAGAAGAATAAGTGTATGTGTATTGCACACTGTTATTATTGCACATTAATTATTATTGCACCTTGTTATAAATATAAATATTATTGTTATCGTTTTAAACATTGTTACCTCCCCCTAAAAAGTCCAGGGAGGTATCCAGTCAGGTCAACTATTTACATTGATCAGGGCTATTGCCCTGTTGTAAAAGCTGTCCTTGAGTCTATTTGTTCGGGACCTCAGCAGCCTGAACCTCCTGCCAGACGGCAGCAGCTTAAACACCCGGTGTCCTGGGTGTGTGCAGTCCCGTAGGATGCTGCGTGCCCTCTTGAGACAGCGAGTGCTGTACAGGTCCTTCAGGGAGGGAAGAGGATGTCCAATGATTTTTTGGGCCATGTTGATGACCCTCTGGAGTGCCTTTCTGTGTGCTGTGGTGCAGCTGGAGAACCACACACCGATGCAATATGTCAGCACACTTTCAATGGAGCAGCGGTAGAAGACGGTCAGCAGCTCCTTCTTCAGGTCCATTTTTCTGAGGATTCTCAGAAAGTGGAGACGCTGTTGGGCCTTCTTTAAGACCGCAGAGGTGTTAGAGCTCCATTGGAGGTCTGTGTCTATGTGCACACCCAGAAACTTGAAACTGGAGACCCTTTCCACGCACTCCCCGTTGATGCTGACAGGCTGCAGCTCGGACTTCCTCCTTCTGAAGTCAACTACCAGTTCTTTTGTTTTGGTGGTATTGAGGTCCAGGTTGTTATCTGCACACCAATCTGACAGCCTCTGAACTTCAGCTCTGTATGCAGTCTCATCTCCCCTGAGATGAGCCCCACCACAGTGGTATCATCTGCAAACTTGATGACTGTGTTGTCTGGGTGGGAACTAACACAGTCATGTGTGTACAGAGTGTACAGTAGGGGACTCAGTACACAGCCTTGTGGAGAGCCGGTGTTGAGGCTGAGGGCTGAGGAAAGATGAGGCCCCACTCTAACTCTCTGT